AGGAGAGCTTCAAGCAAGAAAGGAAATGAGCTAAAATTGACCTACCCAAGGCAGTTGGTGAGAAGATTTCTACTCCAAGGATCAATTCAAGCATCTAGGAAGAGAGAGTCACTTTGCTATTAGTTTTTCCTCTATCTTAGTTGTTATTTCTCTTCTAGCTTTGGAGTAGTCCTCCTTGTCACTTGGATGATAGAAACCCTAGTTTGATATATTGTAGATTGTAGGATTGTGAACTCTTATGTGTATGGGTATTTTCATAAAATTGGGTGTTCTTGATCAAAGCTTCCACTTTGGGGCAAATTGACCTAGGAGGGAGAAGATCCCCCTAGGCAATTCGGGTCGATCCTCAATTACCGTAGAGTGTCATGATTTAGAGTGATTGATTACTTTCCGTTGTTTCGGGTTTTACTCAAGGGAGTAGAATCAATCGCCTTGATTGTCTTTTGCTGGTATGAGGTACGTCCTTCTGATTAGATCAATTGAGTGGGCTAGGATGCACTTGAATAGAGGTCCTAGCTCATTAAGTGCTTCTAATGATATATGAACACTTACCTATCGCATTAGAGTGTCACGGTTGTATCTAAACATGAACTAGGGGGAATACAGTCCAAGTGATCCTTTCTCATTTGAATTCGCCAACATTTTCTTTGCTTGCTTGTTTAGTTTCTTTAGCTTTAACCACGATTTGATCACTAGATAACGTGTTAACTGCTGAAGTAAGGATTGATAGTCTACCCAAGTCGATATTGAAATAATTATTATATCCTACACCCAATTATAGGTTGCACTTGACCTAAAGTCGGGATAGAGTTATAGTGGTAGTGAGTCACTTCCGTATGCACTGCTTCAATCATATGAACACCTCAAGCACGTAGCAGTTCCTTGCTTTCTATAATATATGTTTAAAAGCATATATGATTAATTAATTACTTATTATGAAACACATTTTAGTATAAATTATTTATAATATTCGAAATTAAACGAAAGATGGTGTGTATAATATATATTTACCTTATGAAACTTGCACCTACTAATTTTGTACAACATAAGAAGTTGTCGCCTTCCATAAAGCATTATCGAAGTCTCTCATGTCATCCTTTACACCTATGGCACGATCGAAACCCGAAAAAACTGATAGTTTATGAGGCCGAGAAGACGATGAAGATTTATCTTTATTTCTCTCTGGCTAATTAAAAGCCATTTCCATTCCATTCAAGTCATGGGAGCAAAATGTGGCGCATTCATCAACAATATAAGCTTCAGTGATGAATCCCTTTGGATGTGCCTTGGTACGAACATAACCTTTTAACTTCTTCAAGTACCTATATTGTGTAATATAAGATGGTGAACTAATTAGTATTAAACTTCCTCAAGTACCTAAATTGTTGGTAATATAATTAAAATAGTTTATTTACCATACATTTAAACAGGATACATCCAATGATATTGAAATGGACCGACAAGTTTGGCCTCACGTTGTGCAGCTGGAGACCCGTGCATGGCCGGCAAGTGCTACACACGAACTTCACCGCGATCGGGGACGCCGACATGCCATGGATGTTCATGTACGTTACTCCGGTGATCTTCACGCCCGAACCCTATAGATATTGAGATGCTACGTCGTTAGAATTCAAATACAAGACTTTATTCGTAAATCACATACCCACAAGTAGTGATGGCAATAGGACGAGACGAGGCAGGTACCTCAATACTCATATTTGTCCCGCACTAAGCGCAAGTCATATCGAGTAATGCCCACACAGTTGAGTGGCAACTCATTCTTATATGTTATTTGAAAAAGTAACGTTGATATATTTTACGTGATTATATAGAGAGAACACTTCATAAATGAATGGGTAATATAAGCAGAATGGATAATTATGTCTAATTTGGATTATGAAGTCACGATATATGTTGTATTGATATTATTTCTTACATTTATTATTTTATGTTAAGCTTGATTATTTTGTAATTTATATAAAAAGACATTAGAAATATTCGTTATTTTTATTATAAAATCAAGAAATAAACCATAATATGATAATTGAAGTTAAATTATTAGAGAAATTGATGTTTTCACTATATCATAACTTTATTATAGCTAAAATATGACATAATAAAAAAAACTAGAAGTAATTATATTAAGATTATATGTAAGAAAAACGAGTTGAAAATGGGCGGATCAAGACAGATAAGGTCGATGAGAGTATTCATGCCCATCCCATCTCATCTCAAAACAAACCAAACAAGTCGGATTAAACGGGTTAGGTCAAATTTATCATCTCTACTATGAATTAAGAGCATAGCAAGTGGGACTGCGCAGACAGGTGGATGGGATGAAGGTTAAGCTGGGCCAGGTAGGAAGCCAACATGACATTTTTCCATTTATTTGCTTCTATTGGGTTTTATTTTCGTTTGCAGAAGTAAGCCCACAAGAAGATAATTGAAATTTTGGGCCACATTCTTTTGCCATTATTAGCACTCAAAAGATGAAAAAGGTTGGTCATTTTAAATCATCTATGTGTTATAAACTACCCAAATTCTAATTCCATTCCAACACAGTCAACTTTGCTATAATGATGCAGCAGAAAGTATGAAAAGACAGCATTTTATTGCAAGTAACATGAATGCGCTGGCTAATGATACTTTCACCATTGTCTGAAATTGTGCGGCAGTTTATGCAATCATGTGTTATATTTCAACTTTATTCTTGTTTTCTCTCTAACAATCAAATTGCAATAGCATAAAACTTCGTGTTTCACAAGAGAATAAAATATTTTGAGATTGAGTGTGATATTGTTCAACAATTTCTTCAATCAAACTCATTGGTCTAAGTCATTAGAAATATTGAATTAAATTGCAAATTTGTTAATCAAAAGACTCGATAGATTCAAATTTAGTTATTACTATTCAAACCGAAAATACATAATTTGTATGTATCAGTTTGAGGGAGGTAATGAATTTGTAAATGAAACTGAAGTACAACTTAGATTAATCGAACCACCGCTAAAACTTTAGAGTATTAGAACCAAGGTTGTCAAACCGGTTTATACCGTTGTGCCGGTTCGGCAAGTGAAATGGTACAACCGGTGGTATAACCAATTTGTGCCGGTTCATGCCGGTTTAAAAAAATATGAAAACAATTAATATCCAATGTATTTAATCATATATAAAACATATTTGTGGACAATTTAGTTACAATCCAACAAATATCATCATCTTTTAATTATTATATTCATAAAATGAATAATAAATTAATTTTTTTATTAATTAAATTGATTAAAATGATGTCATTAAACTTAGAATGCGTAAGTCGATCATACCGATCATATCGGTGGTGTCATGCCGGTTTCATGACCGGTACAGGTTGAACCAGGTTCAACCAGGTGGCATGCCACCGGCATGACAACCATGATTAGAACCAAATCATCTACCTTAGAAGCAACAAATAAGTGAAGACGATACATCGTCTTCTCACCAAGCACCAACCCCTCCTTTTCTGTTTACTGTACATAATCCACTTGTCTATTTTATATTGCCCATTAGCATGTAATTATTCAAGTTATCGTTAGAATAGTGCATAGTTCATTAATATATTTTTTATAGCCTGTTAATGTTGAAGTATATAAAGCAATTTGAGGACAAGAGCTCTTCTGACTTTTGAGAGTCCCTCCACAGTTCTCTTCTCAAAATTTCTTATGTTGGTCTAAAATATTAAATATCTCAATTTAGAATTTACAAATACCTCATTCAAACAATGTACAGTTAGATATATATATATATATATATCAGTTATTGGTTCTTTCCCATATAATTAAATTGCCTCACTAATCTGGCCGCTTGCTTGCCTCTTCATTACCTGCTCCCCAGGAGTATCTAATAATGGTGTTTTGTTTCATTTCCATCACTCCCTTTTCAGGGACCTACTCACCTTCTCCCATTGCTGATCTTATCAGCACTGGATAGTGGATATATATATAAAATTTGGTAGTTCCATTGAATTTCTTTGAAGAATAGGAAAGCTGAAACTACTCCTACATCAATTATTAACCCCCCCTTTTAGTTGGTAATGGAATCTCTTGCCCTTCCTTTTAACTCCTCTTTTTCAATCCCAATCCTATCAAGTAATAATGAAGCAGAAAGGGTAAAGTCAGTCTCACTCCAAACAAGAGAACAAATCTTCTTTTCTTTCCCCATTTCCCAGTTTTCCTTCTCTGGAGGTTGCGTTTGTGTTTTCTGTTCGCATAATTGAGTGAGACCCCAACTAGATCCTATAGTTCCCTTTAATTATTGGCAGAACTGAAGGAAAAAAGTTTTGATCTTTGGCCGTCTCTTTCTCGTTTTCTGCTCTCATAAGCAAGTCACGTCCTCTCTGAAGCTACCCTTTTCACTGTCATGTGAAAAGGGAGAAAAATTAAAGGGAAAAGCTTGAATCTTGCTGAGAAAATGTCATGTGGGTAGTTGTTGCCATGAACTTTCCGTGGTACTTTGATCCTCCATCTAGGGTAATTGTTTTTCACCTCTGTTTTTCTTTTTGGTGTTTTGGGATGATTATGATTTCCCCAGCAGCTGTAGTTTCCAGAAGGGCATCGGAAACAGACAAAGCTCTCATTTCCTCTACTCATTTTGCTATGACCTTAAAAAGGTTAGGAATGATAGCAGAAACAGTTCTTTCTTCTTTGATTAATAGGAAAAAATAATATAAAAAACAAGTGTGGGGAGAAGGAGAGTGAGATTGGTTTCTGGTCTCATGGCTGTGAACAACACAAGCACATGCAAACCCCCACCTCAAACCTATTTTCTTTCAGTCTCTCGCTTAGCTTCTTCTTTTTGTCTTCATTTCTGAAAAATGCTTCTTCTTATCCCTTTCCTCTAGTGTGATCTCATGGTTTCCCCCATTGCTAGTTAACGGACCTTATTTACAAAGCTTGGATCTTGGAAGAGGAGGAATAGCTCCGAGGTGAATTCAGCTTCTGGGGTTTGGAGGGTGAGAGACAACAATGGGTGAATCAATAGTTGCTGCCTCGTGGAATGATGGAGATAAGGTACATCTCAAAATCCATTGTTTCTGATCTGTCAGTGGGGAAAGGGATTTCTTCAATTTTGGGTTGCCAATTATTTGGCCTTTTGAGTTTCATATCTCTTTTGTTTTTTGGTTCTCTCTATAGTAATGGAATTGTCTTTCTGTATTTCTTTTTCGGATTTTGTTGAATAGACAGTTACGAGTGCCTCAAATCCTGGTCTGGAAGTGTCGGTTTCTTTTGGGCGATTTGAGAATGATTCATTGTCGTGGGAGAAATGGTCGACCTTCTCTCCAAACAAGTATTTGGAGGAAGTCGAGAAGTGTGCTACGCCTGGATCTGTAGCTCAGAAGAAAGCTTACTTTGAAGCCCATTACAAGAGGATTGCTGCCAGAAAGGCTGAATTGTTGGATCAGGAGAGAGAGCTGGAGCAGCAGAGGGAAATGGAGCAGCAGCAAATCTTGAGGTCAGGTGATCAGGGTGGTGGAGATCTAGTGGAAAGTGGTTGTGAGGTGGGCGATCAATATTATGGTGGGAATTCTGATCCAGGGTTTATGCCAGAGATTGTTAAAGCAAATGAGTCTGACGATGAGCATGATTATGATGAGCATGGTGAAGATCCTCCAATGGATACTCAACCTCTAGTCAATTCAGTTAAAGAGGTAAGGGAGGTAGAAGGACTTAATGGAAGCACGGAAAGCTCCGAACTATACAAACAGGAACTGGCTGCTTCAGTTGAGAAGCCAGAAATTCAACCAATTGAATCTCAAGAAGTGAAGGAGGAAGAGAGCTTGGCAGCAGCAGCAATGAAAGAGCAAAGTGTGAAGTTGGATCATAAGCCTGAAAGTTCTCCTGTAATGAAGCAGCAGAAGGTGAAATTGCATCATCAGACAAAGCCATCTCCAAAGGTGAGTGTTTGTGGTCTTACCATGAGACATCTCTTTCTCATAATTCCCTGAAACTTGATATGCACTTGCTTTTTTTTTGTTTTTGTTTTGTTTACTTAGGTCACTCCAATGAACAAGGTGAAGGAGACGCCAATTGTGAGGAAGAAACCGGCATCGCCTGCTAATCAAAGGCCCCAAAGCTATACTCCAAGAGTAACGAAGCCAGTGTCAGCTACTGGTCCTATGTCTTCTTATTCACGGTCTTCCACAAAGAAGGCCAATTTGACTTCAGTACCAAAGAGCAAAAGTCCAGTTACAGTTGAAAAGAAGAGAGTGGCTCCTAAATCCTTGCATTTGTCTATTAATGTGGATACTCCAAAATCTGATCCACCGCCTCGTGCGCCTGCTCTTGCTTCAACCGCAAGAAAGTCATTGATTATGGAAAAAATGGGTGATAAGGACATAGTGAAACGGGCATTCAAGACATTCCAGAACAGTTACAACAAATCGTCTCCACATCAGGAAATGACTTCTGGAGCTAAGCAGGTTCACTTCCATATGATGAGTCATTGTCAAGTTTCTTAAGAACAATCTTTATGTCTAGCTTTCTAATTTTGTGTTCCATTGTGCTTGCATAGGTGGCGTCAACCAGGTCAGAAGTTAAAGTTTCCAATTCTACAACACCAAGGAGAGAGAATGGAGGGTAATTAACTTAATACTAATTCCAATGCTTTAATGCTTTTGATTATAGCTTATCATGTCTGTACTTTCCATGATAGCTTTGTTGCTTCAATCCCTGTGATTTTGCCTATTAGTGTGAACAAAGTTGTCTATCTTCATTCGTTAGATCCGGCTTAAACTGTTGGAACTGCTTTCTCGGATTTCATAGGAAATAGTTATTGAAGAAGCTGAAGAGTACAATTAGATTGCTAAGGTGCAAATGCTAGAGATTGAGTTATTTACTACGGGTTTCATGCGTGAACTAAAAACTGCGGCTTGCTTGTAGCTTTTTCTGGTGACATTACTGCTCCTAAGTACTACATAATGTTGAAACGCAGATCTTACAAGGCGGGTGATGCAGATAAAAGATATGCCAAGGCAGCTCCATCGTTTGGCTTGAAAAGTGATGAAAGGGCAGAGAGAAGGAAGGAGGTACATCTGGTTCCTGGCATCTCTCCTTAGAAAGACAGTTCTTTTGATTTTTCTTGATTTGCAAGCTAGATGAACGAATGGACTTATTCGCTACCATCTTATATCTCCTCGAAACACCATTTTCAGTTCTTAAGGAGACTGGAAGAGAAGTCTAGTGCTAAAGAGGCAGAAAGTGTGCGCCTTCGAACGAAATCCAAGGTACACACTTGCTATAACATTTCTCCATCATACAAAGGTTTTTGTCCATCGACAATTGCTCTCACTTTGTCCTTTTGATGATGGTTTCCTGCCCACAAGGAGGAGAAAGACGCAGAGATAAAGAAACTGAGGCAAAGTCTAGCCTTCAAGGCGACACCAATGCCAGGTTTCTATAAGGGGCAGAAAGCAATGAAAGGCTCATTCGATAAGGTATTTATGTTTATTTGAACTTCCATCCACTTTTCTTTCTGCCTTATAATATGTTCAATTAGTTGTCCGCTGATAGGAACCCTTGCCAAAGAGAAACCCTTGACCTTGTGTTTATGTCTTCTATCATTCATGTGATGACATTCATCATATTTTACTGAAAGAGTTGGTAGTTCAGAAAAGTCTTCCAAATTATATATTATTAACTCCTCTGCACCTTTAACTACCTAATGAAGATCCACTTGTTTGTTGAAATTTGGCTCGCCTATGATTGCACTATACATTGAAATTTTCGCTTCCATTTTCTGTCAAGTTGGCATCACACTGAATGAGTCAGTGAAAAGTCATAACCTGTTTAGCTGAGTCCGAGTGGAAAGTCATCACCTGTATAGCTTCATCTAGAAGCGTAGAGCTGCTTCTCAAATATCAAACTTGGTATTTTGTTTGCCTAAACCCGAACTGAACTTCGGCTAACCAAAACCAGTATTATCGGTTTCGGTTAAGTGAAACTTCAATCAATGTACATGTAAGTAAAGTGAATCACAATGACCGAAAAGATCCTCTAGAAATAGAGGAGATTGTTTTGAGCCTCGACCCAAGAACTTAGTATGAAATTCAACATCCACTTTACGTTCCAGCTATATATCAGGTAAAATCTGGCAAATTTCAATAGCAGTTTTATAGCTTCCAGTAAATTTCATCAAAGTAAGTGGCTCTCTCAGTCCCTCTGCTAAAGAGTAGCAAGTGAAGATGTACCCTTTAGGCATTTGTCACATTACTGGCCGTTGGTTGTGTTTTGTCTTCACGAAATCTGCTATTGTGCTGGTTAATGCAGGAGGGTTCAAAAACACTCAAGATATAGATAGCCAGCCGCTCATCACGACAGAAGAAGTACGAAACCAGACCAAATTTGTCGAAGAACAAATGCTTGACGGAGGAAAGTCGGTTCGGTTCATCCTACTACTTCGAAGAGCCCGCATGCTGCTGCAGCTGTGTTTAGCTGGCTAGCTAGAAGGAAAGCCATGATCAACCTGAGTAATCATCATCAGCTATTAAGATAGATCAGCTACTGCCTGATCGCAGGCCCCCCAATATTCAGTCTTTCTATAATTTACTTTAGAGCGAATAGTAATTGTGTACATCGAAACCGCCACCAAGACAGAGATAGACCCCAGTATAGTAGCAGTAAGTAGTAGCGGTAGATGTTGGTGGGTCGGTATGTAGAATGGAACCACCATCTTAGCTCTTTGTTCATCATGTTTCTGCAGTTTCTTAGCCAGACATTGGTTCGGACGAATCGCGATGAATGCATATAGGGATGAAAGTTGGGAAGAGTAATTGCAGGCATTCCATTTCCATGTACAATAATGTTTTTAGATTACATGCAATACCATTGTCCAGTGACCGTGAAGCATCTTTATCAGTGATGCACCGCAGCTGCAGAGAACCTGGCTTTTGTGATAAATTCCTGCTGACAGTTGCTCACTGACTTTTGTACAACTAATCCTTTGCTGTCTGTTCAGAGGGGAATTTAATGGAATCAACAAACTGCTCCATTTGGCGCGCCATGGCGGTACGAAACCGGCAACCAAATAAATATACCATTATCAACAAGTTGGAATTACTCTAAAACCGCCCCACCCTCCATTTTCAATGGATTGATTCAGCAAACCCTCTTCGTTTTTCTTGTTTACCTTTTCTTTTTTTTAGTCAGATTGTGTGTTAGGTGGCAGTGGGTTGTCTTTTGAATCAGTAATAATAAATGTTTCTTAATTGTTGGTCGTCATCGTAAAATTCAAGCCTGACAAGGATTGCCAACAGTTGGATTAAGCTAAACTAAGTTTGACCAAATCGCCAAAGTTATATTGTTGTTGCACCTTGTCGCCAAGTTAGTTGAGTTTGCTGCTTTAGGGGAAAGTTTAAACCTTTGACAATTTCATCATATGACCGGGCTACCCAATGTATAGTTTAGAAGGAATTACCAACTAGTTGAGTTGAATGTGTAATTGGTTGGGTGAAATTGTCAATTGATCAAATGTATCTTTTCTTTTTTATCGAACGTTTGATGTATATTAGTGCAATTGAAAATTTGAAATTACACATGCAATCTTCGTTTCATGAAAATTGGAAATGTTGTTGAAACATCTTGAATATGTTTATCAAGTGGTACATCCTAGCAGTGGCGTAGCCAGACTTTGAGTTGACTGGGGTCCTTAAAATTTTCAAAGAACTAAAGTTTGTGTATGTTATGAACTTTGAGTTGATTGTTGTCCTTAGATGAGCTAACATCAACGAGAGTATGGGGTCCTATATTTGAAAGATTATACAAAACCCTACGTATCCAAAGGATTTGGTTGCCCCATTTTTTTCCAACTGGGGTCGTAGGACTCCTCTCCCCAACAAGTGGCTCCGCCACTGCATCCTAGTAGTAGCTATGGTGGTTGGTATTTGGCTCCATTATGTGCAATTTTTACCTATATCTTTTCTAGGGTTACAAGTAGTACTATACTTTCCAACCTTCTATAATCTATAACTTGTACTCTTTATCAAAAGGAGTGAAATCCATTCTTTTCCGTCAATGGTAGTTTGCACATATTAAGCTAATGAAACTATATAATTCAGTGTCGTTTGTTTCTTTGATTTGTCGATTGTTTATCCGACACTATAACAAATGCAATCTAAAATACTTGAGTATTTGCTAACTCCGAGTTGCATGTGAAATGCACAAAAGAAACTGTAAAAAGCTTGGAACTTTGGACTTGGGTGTATATATGCTTTACTTGAATGAAGAAAAGAAAGAAAGAACTCAATCAAATCTACAAGTTCGACCTATCAATGTAACGAATTCAAAAATCAGTTACAAGACCAAAAAAACAAAAACAAAAAAAAAGGGGAAATTTTGTGTTTGTTTGATGAACTCTGAATACACAGAATATGTACATTCCCCCCACCCACTACTCCAATTCACAGTTGGATTTGATTTACCCTTCAGAATTCAGCATCCGATTCATTAGAACTGCTGCTGCTGGGAGACCTTTCCTTCATGAAATGTTCAGGCAAGTTCGCGAACCTCACCGGCGCCGGCGATTTCGGCGACGACCCACTAGAAGAACTCGACGGTTTCCTCCTCCTCTGGAGACTCCTAGCTATCTCCACACAAACCTGATCCACCATCCCCAGGAAATCTCTGATTATGACAAACAGCTGAAGTGGACGGGCAGCTTGATCGTTCGAAGCTCCCGCTTGATAGTACTCCGTCGTTCTCTTCACGAGCTCCATTACCTCTCTCTGTTCTTCCCTCAACGCTCTCACCTCCTTCTCCGCCGATTCCAGAAACCCTTTCATCTCCTTCGAGAACCCTCCGCCTTCCCCGCTAATGGCGCACTGAACCAAGCACTGCTTCACTTCTGCAGCTCGGGATGTAATCGAGGAGCAAGTGGCGGCCAATGTGTCGTAATCGATTTGAGCTGCTTTCTTCACGTTGCTGAATTCGGCGCTCAGCCCTCCCACAACTGGCAATCCCAGCATTGTGTATTCCTTCTCCCTGTCGTCCCTCGAGCCACCACCAACGTCGGAAGCTTCTCCTCCCCCGCTTCCGCCGCCACTGATGCTGCTGTTCCGGCTGCTGCTACGGTTCAAGCTCCGGTTCCGGTTCAGAGCGCAGCGTTTCCCCTCTGCCCTCACCACTTCCTCCACCACGAAGTGAAGCAGAGTTGTCTTCCCGTCGGTGCTCTTGACGTCGGAGAGCTTGGTGAGCGAGCTCAGCTTGAAAGCTTTGGCGTTCCCTCTGGAAGTTCCGGCATTCATCCGATTCCCGGCTTTCAGAATCGCCTCCAGAAGCTTCACGAACAATCCCCTGTTTCTGAGCTCCTTGCATCCCATATCCAAAGTGCGGAGCGACTCCCTGAACTGAGCAATCTCCGACGCGTAATTCACCCTGAAAAGCATGGCGTTTACCCGGGTAAATGCGGAGGGGATCGCCCTGAGGAGATGGTAGAGGAAGGACTCGGCGTCTGCGAGCCGGGTCGGGTCTCCGGTGAATTCCAGGATCTGGGTTTCTTCCTCTTTCGTCGGTGCGATTCTGGTGAGCTTCTCGAGAAGATCTGCGTCCAGGCCATGGCCGTCCGTCAGCGACTCCAGAAGCTCCTTGCGAGAAATGGATATGGATTTGAGTACAATGGCGATGTTCTGAGACTTCCTCGGGTCGAGAATTACGATCTGCGATCTTGGGCTGGCGGCGAGGTTTAGGTTATGGTTTGGATTGTTGGAATGGCTGCTGCCACCGCCGCCGCCTTCCCTAGTTGGGGATTTCCTGTTCGTGGCTACGTACCCGAACAGCGCTTCCATTAGATCACCATCCACTCTGCAGAAACAGTCAATTTCCAGTTTTGACGATCATTATCCAGGAATTAATGGCGCCTTTTAAGGAAAATTGTTGAGATTAACAAGTGAACAGAAGATTAGATTAATTGAATTGAATTGGTCTTGCCTGAAAGAACCGCCGTGGAGTTTGTCCCACACCATGGAATGATCGGCATTGTTTTTGTTCACTTTATCCCAATGCAACGGTTTGAGCTTTACTTGAGCGCCGCTCCCGGAGGGCTCGCCTGATTTTTCGCTGCCTTCGTTCGCTGTCTGTCTAGATGCAGAACCGGCCTTGCCCGGAGGCGGCGGCGGCGGAGCGTTTGGTTTCCTCGGAGGAGCAGGAGGCGGCGGCGCTAGAGCCTTGTTTTGAAGCGGTGGCGGAGGAGGCGGCGGCTGCTTGGGTACGGCCGCTGGCAGTCGGGGCGGCGGCATCGGGGGAGCGGCCGGTGGTGGGGGAGGCGGAGAACTGAATTGTGGAGTGGGTTTAGGTTTCTCTACGGCGGCTGACACCAACGCAATCTCACTGCCACCAGCAGCAAAAGACGCGCCACCGTAAGGGATTCTCTTTTCCGACGGAATCGAGAATTGGGAGGTCGATGATTTCCCACGGAGGAGAGGGATCTCGTTCCTACTAGTGCTCTCGTCTTCAATCTCGTCGTGCTCCGGCGCGCCTTCATCCTCCGGCGGCGACTGGAAAACCTTCTTCTGGTACCCATTCTTCTTGCTCTGCCCTTCCAGCTTCCTCCAATAAACCACATCCAGCCCGTTCTCGTCGACAATCAGCCCCTTCACATTCCCACCGCTCCTCACAAACTTCCCCACCACCGGCTGCTGCAGCCGATCCCCACCGCCGTCCCCACCGCCCCCACCCACAACAGCGACCTTGTTTCCATCCTTCTTCCGCCGCCGAGCCAGGACATACCTGGTGACGAAAAAGAAGAGCAGCGTGGCGACAACGAAGGTACTGGCGGCCGTCGCCGCCACCGCCTTCACAACATTGTTATTTCCGCCGTCCGAGGAGCCCGCGGGAGAAACAGGGGAAGGCCCCGCCGGCTGTGGCTGGAGTGGGATCGTGGGAGGGAAGGGAGCGGGCGCCGGGGCGGGCGACAGGTCGAAGAAAGGGTAGAAAGCTTCGAGATTCTGTGGATTGAAGGACTGAGAGGAACATATAGGCAGAAAGAGGAGAAGGAGAAGCCATGGCTGAATCCCGTCAGCCATGGGCTGAAGAAGGGAAATCACTTGGTGAGGAGGGAGAGGGGAGAAGGGAATTTTGGGGAGAGGGGAGAAGGAAGAGAATTGGGCAAACGGAAATCTGTTACAAAACCCTCCTTTTTTTTCTCCTCTCTCTCTTTGTTGATGGATTGATGACGATGAATTTTGGCTGGTAAGAATGGTTTGTCAGCGAGGGACGTTGGACAGTGTCAACGAAGAAGAAGAAGGAAGGAGGAAAGGAAGGTGATTAGTTGGTTTCCACTCCGGTAACGAGTTTTGGTGACAGCGGCCCTCCCCTCCCGCACCACTACTAAACTACTTAGCCGTGTCCCTCCTTCGCTTTCCTTGTGACTTTCAACTTTTTTTTTTTTTTTTTCCTTTTAAAAAGCGATGTTTTTTTTGTTTGGGGTTTTTTTCACTGATTCTTAGACAAAGTTACGCGTAATTGTTTCAGAAAGGTCACCCAACGGAAGCGGTTTGTTACAAAAGCACAGTTTATCTTTTTTTCCCAAATTGGTAGTGTGTGAATTTGAAATTTGTAACGAACTAGTCATTTCCTTATTTTCACTAATCCTCATCCAAAAATCCTGGTCAATAAGACCATTAAATTGACAGAAGGATCTGCTTTCGAAACCATACTGGATACTAATTCAAAAAAAATTAGTGATTTATAGTTCAACCAATTGAGAAACCGTTGATAGAACCGTTTATGCGCCATAAAATAAAAGAAAATATAAGAAACTAATCGAGGAATAAATTTATCACTAAGCATAGACAAGTTCGAATCCATATCATCCATCACCAAAAAGAATAATAATTTTTTAATTATTAAATTCAAGTTAGTAATTAGGGTGACAATTGACAATGAACCATGTAAAAGACAACTGGAGAATAGAAGAAGTATAAATAAAAATTAGCAATTCAGGTTGGATGGTCTTATTTTACGTTAACTATTTCTTATGATTTTTTTTTTGGGTTCAAATAGTGAACTAGTGGACGAGTAAACTCATCTAAAATTGTATTGATTTTACTAATTGTAATTTAGTACTAAATTTATCACTAACAAAAATAATTTCAAATCCATATAATCTATCAATAAACTTATAGCATATCACCCAAACTATCTCACAAAGGAAATCATTATTAATTACATTCAAGTTAGTAATTAGCATGACAATCCGTAGTGGACCACATAAAATTGATAAGGAGACTGAGAAAAAAAGAAAATAAAGCAAAAATAAAATTAGTAATTTAGGTTGGATGGTCTTAACTTTTTCTTAATTCTTTTGTGGTTAAAACTTAAAATAATGAACCATTGGACCGGTCAAATCAGAGTGATTCATATGGTTTCACGTCAAACTGTTAAAATCCGTTCGATTCATCGCTAACCATTCAACCATATGAACAAAACCGTTATGGTAACTGAATGGTGGTTATACAGTCCATTTGCAGATATGGTTCAATTCATGTAACAATACTTATAAGCAGTCGTCGACAATCTAGGAACAAATATTATCAATGATCTCATTCTTTAATTTCTTGGCCTTCATATAAGCTATTAGGTAATTAGGGGTCGTTTGCTTCAAAGATTTGGTACATGGATTTGGTACCAAAAACCCAACTATCAAGGATTTAGGTACAATCCGTTGTTTGCTTGAACCTTTTTTGGCGACCAAATCCGTGGGGCCCACGGATTTTAAGGGTCCAAATCCGTGGACCCCACAGACTTATAAATCCCACATGTTGATGTGGGATTTGGAATATGGCATAAATCCTTGATAACATTTTACCCATATACCCTCATGCACTTTTAATATTCCAAGGTTGCCCTCAAATTTAACTATTATACATTATAATTAACAATAAATGAATAATATAAACGTTCAATTAATGTGCAAACATGAGTTAGATTTTTTATATCATTTCTTGTGTTCTAGTTTTCTTTGACCTTTTCATGGAACGTGTAATTCTTTGTTCTCACGATTCTAATATATGTTGTTATATGTTACTTTCGAAAAGGAGGACAAAGAATTGGTAATTGATTATGTTACGTTAAAAGTTAAAACGGAATTTTCTCGTTATTATTATTGTCCTTGTTTTGTGTACATATCATAAACATGTCAAACATATAGAAAATGATAGTAAGGTAATTTTGAAGTTTTGTCCTTGTTTTGTGTACATAACATAAACATGTCAAACATATAGAAAAGGGCAGTAATGTAATTTTTAACTTCAAGTAGTAAATCTCATACCTTTAAATCCATGATAAAAACATCCTAACAAACAAAGGATTGTTACAAATCCATGATGCCTCAAATCCTTGATAAATCCTTGGGTTTTTAAATTACAAAACCCTCGTTTATAAATCCATGAAGCAAACGACCCCTTAGTATCCTCTATCATAATTAATATAGATTAAATCGTAAATAAAAACAACCACCAGTGTCTAAGAATATATATTATCAAATATATTTTTTTAAGCCTCCAAATATTAAGTGTGTCCATAATTTTGGGCTAAATGCCTAAATCATACTCTTTTTCTTGTTGATATGTGTTGTCTATAGTTATAGTGGGTTGTTTCATTCTTTGATAACCTCCCTTCATATAATTCGTCGGATAATTAGTATTTTCCATCGTAAGTTCAACTCATATAAATCAAGTCGTAAATAAAAGCAACCACCAGTATATAAGAGTAAGAATATATATGATTAAATATGTTATTTGTTTTTATTTTTCAAAGCCTCCAAATATTAGATGTATCTAGAATTTTGGGCCAAATCACACTGGTTTTGTGGAACTAGCCTCCATAATTTATTGGACGACCTTGTTGAAATGTGTTACCTATGGTTCTTGTGGGTTGTTTCATGTTGTATTGCAACCTGGATTAAAGTTGGATGTTGACCGACGGAAATGACTAGTTTATACTATTTTCCTTTGAAGTTATGATACCATTTCCAGAAAAATCAAACATTATATGACTATTTTGTGCGAATACCAAAGGTTTTAGACCATTTTGGATGATTACTATGTTTGGGAGGGGTGTAAATGGAAGGGGGTGCAAGTTTGGAGGGGTAAACACAAGTTCCAAGGTGTTTACCCCCGTTTGGTTATTTTGTAACAGTAGGGGGTGCAAAACGTGAGCGTAAATTCACTGTTTCGGCTTACCCCCCAAATTGGGGTGCAAGGGAAGGAAGGAAGGGAGGGGGAAGGGGGAGGAGGGGAATTATGAATTTTTAATTAGACTATAATTACATAATAATTAATATTATTAATTTTTTCTTATATCTATATTAGTGTAGAAGTTGTTTGGGGTTGACCGTTTGACTCAGAGAGCAAGTTTGTCAATGTTCGCCTCGTCAAATCGATATCTCTTAGTTGACCCGAATTTGCATTGAAAATTAGAGATAAGAAGCATTTGTTGAAAAGATAGAGAGGAACAGTTTAGTTAACTCGATTTACTTTAATAAGTAGTTAAAACTTACAGATTCGAACGTGTTTGACTAAGTTTGACCATATTCAATTTAAAGTTAGGCACGAGAACCCCCTTAGGATGACCAGTTACGAGTTGGATTTCGAGTTTCGAGGTTGCTCGACCAATGATTATTATTGTTGTTATAAATAATTATATTTGAGCATTATTATATAATAATTATTTTTATTAAAATTATTTTTATTTATTATTTTTATTATTATATATTGAATTTTCATGTTTGTGATAATATTTTATAAATTGATAAATCTATTTTATAATAATATAATTACTTACTTTTTACTCTATTTGCACCCCCTACTTTTTCATCCAAACAACAATTTACCCTTCCACTTACACCATCCACCAAGTTGCACCCCCCAACAATTTACCCCTCAACTTGTACCCCCCTCGAACTTGCACCCCCTTGTTGCCAAACATAGTGGTAATGACATGTTACGGTTTGATTTGGCGATGTGAAGTTTTTAATATATCTTTTTATGTTCCGATGAAGATTGAAGAGAATGATGGGTTGGGTGCTCTGTTTCATTGATTCATCCAATACAAGTCGGGTCAAGCGGGTGACTTGGATAGCACTTGTAAACAATCAAAAGATGTTGACACTGTTTTAGCTGGCATTGGCATTATCTTCGGAAACAAGGTCTGTTTGTGTTTGTTTTTCCCGATTTCCTCCGTTAATTTATAGTTTATATTAATTTTAAAGGTGTTTTAATTTAACCATTTGTGAATCTATTTAGATTTCCATAAATTATTGGACAGGGTGTTGGCTAGTTTGGCCTTTTCTTCGCAACTTTAAAAAAATAACTTTTGACAAATGACAATAGGCGATATATAATCCGTGCTTAATCGAAAAAAATTTATGTTAAAATAATTTTTGTCTAGTATTGATTTTGGTAATCACATTTTCCCACTCATTCTCATTCGACAATAGTTTCACATATTGTGCCATGACATTCCTATGCTATTCTAGTCTAAATCAAAATGTATATGACTTCACCTATCTTGTCTTGTTCGAGTATGTGCGAGGGAAGGCCATAATTGGTATGGTGGTTTATCCGCAAGGATATCTATGACAAAAGAAAAAACGCCAATAATCTCACATATATTCGGATCATGCCATCTTCGTTTCGACCATTTGAACTATTAGGTTATCAGAAGTAACTAGAAAAGCTATATTATACGAGCATTTAAGAGTGTGGATACTGATTTACGACCTTAAACCTTATGTGCGTAAACACTTTTGTAAGCGTGTTGACAAGGATTGTGAAACCTTGTAGGAGGGTATACCGGAAAAGTTCGTGGTAAAGTATTTCGTACCAAAATCGTGATTCAACTGTAATTCGATTTTTTCCTACTGCTAAAACCGTCTATCAAATCTGGGGGAGTACCTGCATCGGCAACATTTTCAAGGCCTAGCACCCGATACTGGGGGGAGACTTCGTCTCCAGCACTCGCGGTGCCTTTGGAAACACCAAGTAGTGTAACCAGATTCGAACCTGAGACCTCACACATCTCAAACCTGAAAGATCACATAGCCGACCAACTCAGTTACGTTACCTTTGGCACTTAACTTTAGTTTTTTCATCCAGCTATCATTAAACCAAAACCAAACTGGCAACACTAGTCGACGACGAAAAGGCTCCACTTAGAAGCTGTCTCTAGAAGCATTGCAACATGAAAATGAGAAGGGATTAGTTGGCAAATTTTTGTTCTGATTGGTAAGCAAGCATGTCAATCTTTGGTGCTAATCATTGCCCAAACAGAGGAAGTTGCTTTTTCTTGTGGGCTCATTCTTATTGGAAATACCCAAATACAAATAGGGTCCTCCTCCTCCTCAAATCCATATTTCCCACCAAAGTCCTTATCAAGTTGTGATCATGAGGCCCAGAGCCCAGAACCAAGTCAAGATTTAGGGGTTGAATTAATATATGTTTCCTCTTTTTCGTGTGGATTTGGAGTAGTTGGTAAGGGAGATGCGATTTGTACTAGTTCCTCATACTTCCATATTGGTTTGACCTTTCTTGTTGTTGTTCATTTTTTTTCTTTCTAGAATTAGAACTCATATATTATGAACCAATTTCTAGTTCTTTTGGGCAATGATTAGCACTAATTTGGAAATATTATTACTAATGTATTATGAACCAATTTGGAAAATAACCATATGGGATTTTCCTCTTTTTCTTTCGAAATGGGGTTTAATTAACATATCTATCTTGTTAAAAATTGTGCACAAGCAACGCCAATAGCTAGTTCTTTTGTGCGTTTTCGCCACATGTAACCAATATCTCTAAATTTATACATGTGAACTCTTAAACGGAAACATAAAACATTTCGGTGATTGTTTTCCGACGAGAACTTTAGGTGTAAACAGTGACCAAAAAGCGTAGAAACAATTTGGTATTGTAAAATAATAAAAGTGTAACCTTTAAAGTAAGATTTTGTATAAATTTATAAATGTACAACATTTGTATGAAAACTTGAAGCATTTTAACGATCTAGAAGCATAAAATCGCGTAAACTTTTGAAATTTAAAGCACAAGATTTTAACTACATTGCATATAAATGTTGCTCCATGAAACTCCAAATGGTAGGGGATGCATAAAGTATAAGGATAATGTCTATTTATTTACCAAATTTTATTCAGATTATTTTATATTATCCAAACCTATTAAAATGCTATTAATTAGTCAAATCTTTCGCAATGCATCAAAATATTAGTCATTTTTATGTTATCGTTAATAATTTTGTAACTCTTTTCTTAATTGAAATACTAAAATTTTGGAATGTTGACCTTCATATGTATCTTCCAACTCACTATCATTTTGCCAAGTCAATATTACTAACAAAATAACTAACAAGAAGTTAACATTTGATTAATTCTTAGCATTTCAATAGACTTGGCTAATAATAATAAAAAATCCAAAAAATATTTCGCTAATAAAAAGAATTGAAATTAGTTGCCGGAAATAAAAAGAAGAAAAAAGACTTAAAAGAAAAAAAAAAGCAGAAAAAAGAAAAGGCCAACCAGGCCCAACATCTAAAGCTTGTCGGTCCAAAGGTACGGCCCAAATTCCATGCGATTGCTGAAGCCCTTTTTCCGTGGAATTAGAGTTTTTCCTAGTTAGTCTCGCATTCGGACATGGCGCAGGCTATTTAAAGGGAGGGAGGGCCGGTGATGGTCTCTCTCGTCGGTTAATCACAGACAGCAGCCGTGATTTGAATTTGATTTGGTTTGGTGAGAATTAGGCGAGACTATGGCGAGCCCTAGAAGAGAAATTACAGTTGAGGAGGAGGGCCAGGTCAGGGAAGCGAGCCCTAGAAGAGAAATTCCAGATGAGGAGACGGAGTTTATTCCAAAGCTGGTGTTTATTCCTAAGTTGGAGACGGAGTTTGATCCAGAGGTCAGCGCATTGGTGGAAAAAGGTTTAAGTTATAGGCGGGCAGTGCTTCTTGACTTAATCACTCGGGGCGAAGAGCGTTATGATCCAGAAGAGGTCGCAAGATGGCTTGCCCTAGATCGCGCTGAGCAAGAGCTGGCAGATGCGCGTAACAATAACAACTGATGAGTGATGATCAGCTGGAAAAAAGGAGGAGGAAGATTCGCTCATATGATATGTAGTACTCCTTAGTTAGTCAGTCCGTCTGCCTGTCTGTCGAACTAGAACTAGAACATCAATAAGGGTTACTTGTTGCGTTGTTGGTTGCATTCCTGTTTTTGGTAAGAATGCCATTCTGCTTTGCTTGCTTTTTGCAGTGTTGGTTCCAACTTGTTAACATGCTTTTCTCTGGTTCAAGAAATCTATAAATGCTTGCGAAATTGCGATGCATTTCTGTGAATGAGGTGGCGTTCTCGATTAGTGCCTTGTGAATAGATGACTATTGTCTTCCAGGGAGGTTAAAAGTGGTTCAGGATGAGTTCCAATGTGGACGCTTTGCAAGATGCTAATGCAGCTTCAACTTCAGGACCAAAACATTCAAAGAAAAGTGGTACGAGCTTATGGCCATTTGGTTTATTGATTTGCTGTCCGTGGAGTAATTCGTAGTTTGGCTGATGCACTATCATTACGACGCTTATAAATGAGGCTAAGAAGCTTACTGTTGCTGCTCTCTCTGCAGTTAAGGATGCTGCAGCTGCTGGCCTGCTGCTGCAATCAAGGGAAAAGTTGAGGTGGGCTTTGCTCTTTGTTCCCATATTAGCTGTCTGTCTATTATATCTAACTATGAAAACTATTAAGATTTTGCTCATTTAGTTTGTCATATACACATCAAGGTCATGTTTGCTTAATGGGAAGTGTTGTGTCCCGCTGTGTCACTGCAGTAGTTCTGAGAGAGGTATCCACGAAAATGGTTGCCAAACTTTGGGATCACTGACAAATATGCTACTTAACTATCATCCATAACTAATTTGTCACTGAAGTTTTGAATAGCTAGCGCTTTAAACAACAGCTAACTATCCGTCTCCGTTAAAATTTTCTTCTAAACTGTTGAGATCAGTGTGTCAACTAGTCAGATTGTTAATTAAAATATGTCATATAAACCCTTTAATTAGGGGGGTGATGTTGGTAGGCATAGGGTTGAGCAGCATTTGGATCGGCTATGAGGTAAAATAGGTCATCCCAAGCCAGCTGTAAGGACTATATGACAAATTACTTTTAATTTGGGTGAGTTAGCACACTGATCTTGTCAATTTGAGCAATTGTAATGGAAATGAACAAAGTGATTGGTATGTTAGCTATTTCAAACTTCAGTTTCTGAAAAATGAAAGCGGAATAACCTGAAAGGTCAGCAAACATTTATATAACCAATCCAAAGAGGTGTATACACGGTAGCGGTGACTTCCGCACGTGGCAAGTTTGGCTGACAACTTACAGAACGCAATTTGACTTTTGCAGACTTGTATGCTTTGTAGACTGAGCACTTCAGGCGGAATGGTGTAACTCTCTTCGTGATCACTGACCTGTACGCTTTGCAGCCGTAGAAAGGATGATCTTCTATTCATAAGCAAACCACAATTCTGCCACAGAGCCTCCAGAAAAGCAAAACTCATCTTTGCCCCCTTAGCATGGTGGAAGCCATGTATTAGGCTACTACACCAATCAACGACATCAAGCCATGCTAGTAACTCTCATTTCACTGGAGCATGTAGGTTTTTAGATGATTGATGCATTCACTGAGTCCCAAGTATAATGCAAAGCTTTGTTTGGAGAAGGTTTGATTCACCCTTCCCTTTTTGAGCCAGAAACATTGAGTTGAGAGGATGCTTGTTCAGTTCAAGTTCATGGAGTTGCACTGTTGTCCGCAGGTTACGTTGGGGATACACTTGTTCTCCTTGCAAAGCCTCAAACTTATATGAACCTGAGTGGTGAATTTGTAAATGGCTTGTCGTATGTGCTGACGCTGCAGTCTCTATAGATGAACTTTTTCTTATTTCTGTTTTATCAACTCTAGAACTAGCTGATTTATGCTTGGGTTCCATCTTAATCAATATTAGATGAAATGAAAATCCTAATTAATGTCTTGTCAATTGCAGGTTGGACCTCTTGCAGCTTATTACAAACTACTTCATAGCAAAGTTATCGTGGTATTGTTTATCTCCACTTTTCGTGTTGACACCCCTCTTTTGCTCCATAGTGTATGAGGAACTTGATGTGAGTATATTTGCAGGTATATGATGACATGGACTTGCCTTGTGGAGTGCTTCGACTTCAACCAAAGTGAGGTCATTTTAGCCACAACGGGTATGTATATCAGTATGCTACTGTTGTGCTTAGTTATGGGAGAGCTATGGTTAACTAGATTTCTATAAATATTACTTGTTGGCTATTTATGTTTTCCCTCCATTCTCTGTCTCATTGTTTGTGCTCGATTTTTATTCATTCGCTTTCGTAGTAGTTTGAAGAGTATGATCTATATACTTTCGAGGGAACATAGAATTTGATTGGCTCGGAAATGGTTAGCGTGAATATATTCACTTAATACCTTGCTTCTTTTGATGCTCTCTAAATTTGTGATGCGTGAATGTCTCTCTATGTCCCCAGGAATTGGAAGACCCCCTGGCCAAATGGACCCAAAGACTTTCTTGCTAAAGAGGCTCAATGCCACTGCTGAAGGGCGAGTAAGTATGCCAGTAAGAAGCTGAATCTTCTCCTCTTTTCTGCTATTAGATTCGCCTAGCTTCCTAGAAACTATTCTTGGAGTAGAAGATTTGAGCAATTAGTTGTGGTGGTTTGGTTGGATCCTGAATGGTGTAACTTTCTTCGTGATCACAGACTTGTACACTTTGCAGCCATAGAAAGGATGATCTTCTATTCATAAGCAAACCACAGTTCTGCCACAGAGCCTCCAGAAAAGGGAAACTCATAATTGCCCCCTTAGCATGATGGAAGCCATGTAGTAGGCTACAACACCAATCAACGACCTTAATCCTCGTCTTGCCCTAAAAAACTTCCCTCTGCACCGTAATCCGACCCTTAGCCAGACTAGGCAAAGTCAAATCGTACGACCTAAGTGTGTCGAGTATCCTGAGCTTCATTGTAAAGCTTGAGCACCGGTGCATCCACTCTCAGTTGGGAACAATCTAAACCATAGATGCATAGCGGTGCAAGCGAGCTCCCGTGATAGTAAAGACGCAATTTGTATATCGCAAGTCACAACCGATCAACCACAAGCTCTGTAAACTATGGAAGTTGCGGAAACGGTCCACGTTACCTCCAGAGAAGCTAGGCAATCGACAACCATCTAAGTCCAACTTGGTAACACTTTGGAAGTTGCATGGCCCAAACCCGACGGAGATGAAACAGCCGTGTTTGAGCAAGGTGGGTTAGATGCAAGCTATCGTGGAATGGCTGAAAAAAGCTGGAATCAACATGTCCAAGTTTGGGTTACTCTGCGTATCTTGCGACACTGGCGATCGGAGGCAAAGGTAAGTATCCTTTGGAGCAAGACAAGGGAGAAGCGAGAGTCTCTGTATGTTTTCTAAAACTATGGTAGCAACTCTCATTTCACTAGAGCAGGTAGGTTTTCAGATGATTGATGCATTCACTGAGTCTCAAGAACTTCCAAAGAACTCGATGCAGTGCAAAGCTTTGTTTGGAGAAGGTTTGATTCACCCCTCCCTTTTTGAGCCAGAAACATTGAGAGGATGTTTGTTGAGTTCAAGTTCATGCAAATTGATGAGTTGCATGTGGAGTATATATCAATTACACAGATTCTTGCTTCTTCCCTGTCTTGCTCCAGATGATACTTACCTTTGCCTTTGATTGCCTGAACTTGAACATGTTGATTCCAGCTTCTTTCAGCTATTCCACGATAGTCTGCATCTAACCCATCTCGAACTCAGACACGTCTGTTTCACCTCCGTCGGGTTTGGGCTGTGCAACTTTCAAAGCGTTACCAAGTTGGACTTAGACGACTGTCAATTGCCTAGCTTCATTGGCCGTAACATGAACCCTTTCCGCAACTTTCCTAGTTTACAGAGTTTGTGGTTGATCGGTTGTGACTTGCGACATACAAATTGTGTCTTTACCGTCATGGGAGCTCGCTTGCACCAACTATGCATCTATGATTTAGATTCTTCCCAACTGAGAGTGGATGCACCGGGCTCAAGCTTTACAATGAAGCTCAGGATACCTGACCCATTGGGTCGTATGATTTGACTTTGCCTAGCCTGGCTAAGGGTCGGATTTGGGTGCAAATGGAAGTTTATTAGGGCAAGACTAGGGTTGAGGTCGTTGATTGGTGTGTAAAGATGAGTTTTGTTTTTCTGGAGGCTCTATGTCAAACGTGGTTTACTTATGAATAGAAAGATCACCCTTTTTTCGGCTGCAAAGCGTACAAGTCTGTGATCACGAAGAGAGTTGCACCATCATGCCTTTAGTGCTCAATTACTTTTCGATGTGTTGGCTGGAGGATACCCACAAAGTTTCAATTTTTAGGTTAGTTAATGGTGGTTAGGACAACATATCGATTACTATATGCTATTGGTTAAGAGTTGAGTGTCTATTTTGCTTTTTCCCTTGAAGTTAGTTGAATATGAGACCGTTTCTATTACTGTTTGGTGAACTCTTGTAACCTTGAAATCGTTATCATTTCTTCAGTGACTGACTACTACTTTGAACATATATGGCTAACAAGATCAACTTATCTAGGGAAAATTTAGTCTAAGCTAGGTTTAACGGAATAGAAACTTGATCTTGGATAGTTCGTTCTGTTCATATATTTCTTTATCATATTATATCTATCTGGTAATGACAATGCAACAAGTTGGAAAGTATCGATTGAATATGTATCTCGAATTAAGATAGACTCGCAATGGCTGTGAAATTGTGCAAAAAGTAAAAGTCCTTATTTATTGAGTTATATGTACTTCTTAACTTTTTATTTTCTCAAATATGTCTCTATACTTTCAATCACATCAAATCTACTCTTCTACTATAAAATACAACTCCTCTATTTACTTTTCCGTCTCCTAATCGTCAAACCCGGTCCAACTGGATTCGGTCAGCATCACATCTTCACATCACTAAAATGGAAGGCTAAAAGATTTTGTTACCCTCATATTGCTTAGCATTCGTAGCATGAAAAGGTGTACAATATTGTTCAAATCCGTGGGCCTTGCGACTATGGACGAACAGAAGGTGAAAGGCAATGCTGCAGCTTCGACGTAGAATGGGAGAGAACAGGGGTCCGCCTGAGTCTGTATCCGTCAACAATGGTGGATGGTGTGTGTTGAGGGTACGATCAGGGGTTTAAGGGTAGTTTAGTATTTTATTAGGTTCAGTCGATTAGGATTTCGTGTCAGAGTCTATATAATGCACTTTACTTCTATCGTCAGGGGAAATCAATGAAAAACCTATCTAAGTTTCGTTAGAATTGTCCCTCTTTCATGTAGACTATTTTCAAGGACCCTAATCCCCAATCCTAAATCATTCAGTTCTGCCTAATTCTCTTCTCAACAAATCTAAATTACGTTAATATAAGTGCCCAAGATCCGTACCTACAACAACATAAATTACGTTAATATAAGTTTGTAAACATAAATTTTAACAATAAGCCACTTTTCCCACTATTCTAATGAATTTGGGAAAAGCCTAACGGGTGAATTAGATTACTCTATCGAAGTTGAGAATGCATACAAGTACCTTATATGTATCTTTTAATCTCAAATGTATCATAGTGCTGGTGATTTACTTTTAAAATATACTTTTTATAATTAGTTTCATGAAAAGAATACTCATTTAGTGAACTAAAAGCGTAAAAACATAAAGCGTTTTGGAGAACTAGAAGCGTAAAACCGTAAGCTTTTAAGCTTTAAAGCGCAATTTAGTCCGATTTTATATACTGAAGTTTTTATATGTAAACGAAAGCATTTTGGTGACCTAAAAGCGTAAAATCGTAAGTTTTTAAGTTTTAAAACGCGATTTGACTGCATTGAAGACATGTATCAAAGATCAAAACCGCAACATATGATATCCTTTGGTATCCCTTCTTTGTGACAAACAGAATATGTTGTGGCTGAAACAGATCCGAAACAAGGGTTTTTTTAATGTACACATGCATGTGCTGTTGTTTGTACGAGGACTTTGTTTGGTTCATGCATCTCTACTGCTGTGAATTGTGGAGCTGAATGTGAATCGCGAGAGAAGAATAATAAACTAGTGTTGAAATAGAAATCCAGCCGGGTAATGGGGTCACAGCTAAACTGTGTTGGATGTTAGTTGGGGAAGCCACGTTTTCCTACTGCATCTTTTCTTTTTTTCTAAAACGCAAGAACACGCTTTACCTATTTCGTTATGGATCTTATTGTCGTTTTAGAGGGGTGGCCAATTATTGATTCCGATATTGTCGTTTTAGAGGGGTGGCCAAAAATATTCTCCTCCCCAGACAAAGTATCATACCATATCTCCACGATTTGATTGTGATTCCACCCCATTCCCACCCACGTCTCATTTTGACCATTTCAAAGCCAAGCTTCAAACCGGTGATATATTACAGAAATTCCTTTGACGGTACAGTAGCGAGAGGGATGGAAGAATGATAACTTTCTTTGATAGACAAAAATTGTTATTTCCCGCTTTGACGCCTTTACCTTCCTCTGCTAGCGACAAGAGAGAGTTGAGAGGATTGTAAAACTGTTGCAAACTGATTAGATGATGAACCGAAAAAGTAAGGATTGTAAAACTGTATAGAAGGTTAATTGTGATTCAATTGTTGCGTACCACTAAATGTAGCCTATTGATTAAACCGTAGATACAGTACAATTTTTTATTTTTTTTTCAGAAAAGCAAATTTTCCGTGGGCCTGTGGTCGTTTTAGACTTTACCACCACTTTTAATATGTGCTCTTCTTTCTTCCTCGCTGGTGTCTACTCCTCCTGTGGGCTGCTCATTTTCAGCCGTCTGGTCGGCGAGTCCAGCAGCGACGGGGAGCACGGCGCGGAGGCGGTCGCTGGGGATGGAGACTGCGACGGCGAGGGAGATGACGGCACTGACATCGACATTGGTGTCGAAGATGGCGACGACGACGACATCGATGTAGGCGGTGGCGACGGCGACGGAGATGGCGAGGAGGAAGAGATAGGGGATGATGACGTGGAAGAGGCAGTCGAGAGACAGTTGCAACTCTCACAACTTTCCCGTTGCTTTCTCTTGTTGACTCGCACGCTCGGCTCGCTCGTCGTCTCCATGTAGCCTCGGAGCCGTTCGACATCCGACGCCTTCACCGGCTTTACAATGAAATCTTCCGCCCCTTCCTCCAAACAACTGTTATCAGAAAAAAAAAAAAAAAATTTGAATTCCAGATCAATTCCTAATTCCGGTATTAGGCAAAATTTGATGAAGAATATTTAAAATACAGAGTGAGTGATGAGAGGTGAGTGAATCAAGTACCGGTCGATTCGAGTCACGACGTTTTCCGAAGACATTATCACCACCGGGATCTCTCTTAGAGTGGACGATCCCTTGATTTTCTTGAGCAAGTCGTAGCCGGTCATCTCCGGCATGCAGTAATCGGTGATAATCAGATCCACCTTGATTTTCAAGCTCTGAGGAAACAGAAGCACAAAAAAAAAAAAATTGAAATCAGGAAATTAGGGGAAAAATTGATCCACACGCCGACGAGATGAGGAATTCGAACGAAAAAGGGGGAAATTAGCTCACATCAAAAGCGCCAATGGAGGAGGTCTTCTTCTCTTCTCCGTCCAATCCAAGGAACTGCAGAGCTCTTATTCCGCTGTCAACCGCCGTGACTGGAGAAATCAGAAGAAGAAAAACGTTCAGAGCAAAGAAGAGAGAGAGAAAAGCAGGAAGAGGAAGGCGGAAGCGGAGAAATAGGATGGCAGACCTTTGTAAGAAGAATTACGGAGCAGACGCTCAATGACTTTCCGATCAATAAGGCTATCATCGACGGCTAGAACATGAACCTCCTTGGCAGCCGAATCATGAGCTGGCTGCTGCTGGGAGGAAATCTCTCCGTCCGACCTCCAACGTTGAGAAGCGACGACGCCGTTCCTAGCCATAGCAGCGATTGCGCTTTTTTTTCTTTCAGTAGCTGAAAGAGCAACACTTCTCGTCGGAAAACTGTGCGGCTGTAAAAAGGCTTTTGGATTAACAGCGAGAGGAGAATGGAATATAAAGGAAGGAAGGAAGAGGGCGGAAATGTGAAGGTAGGTGTCTCTGTCCACTCTCTCCAAATCAAATCTTTGAGGAGGGTGTCTCTCTCTCTCTCTCTCTCTCTCTCTCTCTCTCTCTCTCTAGCAAATCTTTGAAATCTGCTCTCTCCCACCTTTCCCTCTGTCTCTGTCTCCCTCCATTTGTTTGTTTTATTTTTCTCTGTATAAAACCTTTTTTTATTTTTTGTAACATTTCCAGCTCTTACTATTATACGATCGGGATTCTGAAATCCACTTTCTTGCGATCTGTTGTAATAGTATTATTATATTATATCTTTTTCCTTTTTTCTTTTTCAGCTCCCTCTCTTCTCGTGTTGCGGAATGAACAGAAAAGGCAGTAGAGTGGGAAGCTGCGTGATCTTTGGGATAATAATAAGACTCATGATTTCGGTTCAACAGTGTGATGATATAGATACGACTATTTCCTATCAATATTGTGGAACTTTTCACTGATTTTGTTTTCTGTTTTTTTTTTGTTGGAAAAAGATAAAATCCAAAGGAACAAAATAAGTCAACAAAATACATTTGTACCATTTGATGATTTTTTTGTTTGATTTTTTTCTTTATTTTAGTGGCTGGTAGACTAAATAGTTTCGGGATTGTTTCTTGCTATATTTGAAAATTGAGGATGGTTAAAATCAATCTTTTGAAAAATCAAGAATTTATGATGCATTTTTTCCGTTATGAATTTCAAAAGTTTGTTGTTTGCTTGTTGGATTTATTAAGTTAGGGATTTATCAGATTAAAGGTAATTGACCTTACTATCCGTACTTAATTTGTTATATTATGTATATGGTGGCAAAACAATTTGGATCGTTTCATATACTGAAACTAGTGTGTAATTCGCAATTAATTTGGTCATCTGGACTAAAGATTGAATAGAGAACTCCATAATCGCCTACCTATATAGAGTTTCTCGAAACTCAATGTATGGCAAGTGGAAAATCTGTAGCAAATCACCAACCATCACATAACAAAACATTGTAATTTCAAACATCTTAATTATCAAAAGTAATCACAAACATAGACACAAAATTTTAAAACCACCATGTATGTAGAAAATAAATAAAGCATACCTCTCATCAAATAAAGAGAGTTCTTACATCATTATCATTAGTACACCTCAGTAGAGAAACTAGTAGAACTTAATGTTCTCCCTGCTCGAAATTATTATCATCTCTCGTGCATATAATCAACATAACTAGCTTCAACAACAAGGATTGAGTTACGATAATTAATAATTAGATGGAAAATAAAGCAATTGATCCTCAAGGATTTGGTCCTCTAGGCTCTAGCCAAAGTTTAAAGGGTGGTGTGTGTTTTACAAGTTTGCGGGACCCATGGATTTGAATCCAAAAAAAATCCAATTTTGTGGACGCCACGAATTTGGCACCCATCAAGCAAATAAGAAACAATTTAGGGATTTTAAGACAATTCAACGTTTCTTGGGATTTGAGCCATAAGTCCAAGATCCAATTCCAACAAACAAAAAACATCTTATATGATAGAGTTGCGAAGATAAACCAAGGAGTTGTCGTCGGATTCATCACATAGTTAGGTGATAGAACGATCTCCTTTGCTATATTGATGAACTTGTTGTGTCTAGTCCATTTAAATGGTGTCTAATTAATAAAAATTAAATTTTTTTCATTTTGTGGTGACTCTTAATTGGTTAATCGACTTGCTATTTTTGAATAAATTTTTTTGCTCATGAACAGGGATCATTTTGAAGGAAGTTTAGGGATGGAGTCTGAAATTTAGGTAATTAAGGGCCAGTAAAAAATTAGAATGAAATTATCTAATATTAAAAATACAGTTTATTAGGTTTTTATAAGACAATTTATTAGGATGTAATCATATATTCATTCTTTATTTTCCTTAAAATCATCCAAAGTGAGATTTATATTACAATTTATTATTATAATTGTCATTCAACATGAATTACATATATGGTATAATTTTAACTAGTAAAATGCAGTTAGACATGGCATGTAATTCATACATAACTACATTTGTATTAATTGCAAGAAGAAAAAACAAGGAGAGAAATTCAATTGTCAATTAAGAATGGAGGCATCGGTGAAAAGAACTATAATTACCAGCCGAAGGGGGGGGACAAAATGAGAGGAAAAGATGTATTTAAATAAGAAAGTTCGATTCCAAATTGTAAGACTTGTAAATTTTGGAATAAGATAGTGCAAACATACGTTTTAAATAAAATCTGTAGTGTTATATTTCAATATTTTATATATAGCCTAATTTTAACTAGTAGTAAAAAACTAGACCTGGTATGTAATTCAAACATTACTACTACTATATGAGTTGCAAACAAAGGAAAAATAGGAGGGATTCAATGCTCAATGAAGAATGAAGGAATTGGTTGAAAATAACTTCAATTACCATCCATAATAAATAAATAAATAGAACTCCAAAGTGAGAGAAAAAAATGCAAAAAAAATAACATTGAATCAAATTGTAATACTTGTAAATTTTGAGAATTAAATATTGCCAAAATTGTAAATTTGTGTATAAGAAGTGTTTTAGAAATAAGAATGGATTTTGAATTGTAATGAACAACCATCAAATCTATGAACATTCCATTGAAACAATGACAACAGACCACTAGACCTCAAATGCTTTTATGTTGTAATGTTGTATACTTTATACTGTAGAAGGGGCGGCCCCCTATTTGGGTCAGGGTCGTGTCTTTTTGCTTCTCGGGGTTTTAATAAATTTGTCTATGTAGTGGGAGAATAGACTCTTTCATTGAAAGTTCGGTTGGATAGAAGCTAATACATGTCGTTGAAGACAGTTTTGCAGTTGAGTCTCTCTATCACCCCCTGTTGCACTTGGTTTGAGAATATTAGAAGGGAGGTGGATCGAATTTCTTAAACACTATGATCTTGTTCATCTGGGGGGTTGTTTGCATCTAGCACAAAATTTACTACTTCAGAATGAATTGCGGCTCCCAACATCTTTGGGCTTGTTGGAAATAGGAGCAGTGTTAAACAAAGTTAGTCATGATTCGGTTTAAAAGGAAGGGGCCATATGATATCACCAATCTGAAGAACTTGGCATCGTAGGTTGGATTGGATGTGAAATAATGTTGCATTGATGCTTGTGTTCATGTTTCCTATTATAGTTCACTGATTTCATGAGTATGAATGGTAACGATGCTCATTGTCAAAGCAAGAAGCCTCTAGCGCTCATCATCATCATTTATCGCTTGATGTTCACGATAAAATTGGCACACCAAATCTAAACAATCTAGGATTTCACATTCTCATTGCCTCGTGTCAGCTTCCTTTGCCTCTCCTCAACTTATGATGCAAAGAGAGTAGTTGAGTGTGTAGAGAGAAATATGAAATCGATAGAATGGAGAAGGTTAAATGGTGAGATGTGTAGAATTACCAAGTTCGGATTTTATTTACTGAAAAATATTATTTCTGCTAACATATGATTAAAGTTGGATGAACAAATAACACGACACAACTCATCCTAATTAAAGTTTAATGAATGGCTGACGGAAAAAATTCATGTTGTCAAACATGTGAGCAATTTATGGTCATATAATCACTTATTATGTTTTCGTCACTGATAACATCCTATTTAATTAGTGACAATAAAAAATATCAAAATTAGAATATACGGTAAAAAAAATTGATGCTAACTAATTATTAATGTCGATACAACAAGTAAGCCAGAATTTTCTAAACTAAACGAGGAAATCAAGATTTGGCCAAAAACTTCGTCCCCTTTTTCCCTAACCCCATTGTGAGTTGTGACTTGTGACCATGTTATTAGTTGAAGCTGAAAAAATTCACAATTTCACCCAGCCATTTTACCCCTAGCAAGCATTGTGGGCTTTTAGGGGTGGGAAACGGTGCGGTCCGGTCCAGACCAGACCATAGATACGGTTTGTGGTCCAGACCGAGAGGTTGGAACACAAACTATGGACCAGACCATATACTATACGGTCCAGACCAGACCACACTTGGCGGTGCGGTCCGGTATGGTCTGGACTAGACAGACCATGTTAAAAAAAATTAACTCTTGTTTGCCCTCCAACCCTTCACCAGTATCTATAAAAAAATCTAGTGACCAATATGCTAGTGAAACAAAACAATTGTGATCGTATTAAATGAGAAGAAATATGAGGATAGAAGTGGGTTTTTTAAATTTTCAAATAGCCTTATTTCCCTATTCCTCTTTGTGCTACCGCTTCTCTCCTCTCTCGAGTAATCTGAAGGTTCTCCCAATTGATAACCTTTTTGATGACGTCGAGGTAATTTCGAACCACTAAGATGGTCGCATATCTCTCAATAATTTTCCTTATCTCATCAGGGTGAACGAATTTTTCTGTAGTGTTTAATTTTTATCGACTCCATAGTCTAGACATTATCTGTGAATATTATTTATGAGTCTTTCTAATTTTTGTGTGGTACTTTGATAAGGAGATAACATATAAGCGATAATTTTGCAATTTGTTGGCTCTCAATTAGATGAAGAATCAACTAACTTTGTTCATCAAATACACATCTGGAGGTTCAATTTAGTGTTATTTCTGTCCAAGGTAGTAGGTAGTGTGTCGCGGTCTGTTACGGTTTACTGCGGTAGACCACGGTGCAGACCACTTCAGACCACGCACTAAAGGAGGAGACCGCAAACCGGTCCAGACCATAGTTCTGGTCTCACGGTCCAGACCAAACCATACGATACGGTCCAGACCGCGGTTTTCCATACGGTTTGGTCTGGATTCCCAGCCCTATGGGCTTTGTTTAGACATGAAACCAATTTGAGAAAAAGTTGTGAAAAAAATAGGGAAAAGAAGACTGTGGTTACCTCCTCTCCTCTCCAGTCCACTGCCAAAAACCAGATATGGTCGGGGATCGAGGGGGAGAAAAACTGAAAAAGCAAAAGCAGGCAACACAAAGATAAATGAGGCTGAGGAGAGCGGTAACTTGTTGACCGCTGGTCAATTGGGCGAGAAATATAAAACTTGAAACCCCGCCGTCAGTCAGCGTCATGGGAAATGAAATGACTGCCGTTTGTTTGGTTCAACCGCCAAAAGGGTAAATACAGCAAATATGAAATTGACTTTTACTGCACTGTCACTCTCCCCGACCGGTGATTAGAAAATGAAAGTTAGAATGGAGAGCAGACAGCAGAATCTTTTTCTGATGCGTGTGAAAATGGTGACCGGCCACCGCTGGTTCATATGTCACACGTGCCGCCTCGTGCCCAGTTATTTCTTTCGACAAAACTATTGGGGAAAGGAAAACAGCGAAAGAAATTGTTGGCAACATTTGTGACACCTCGCTCTGTGCTCAGTTATTGCTTTTCTTGAATTTTGTTTGGGAATATAACTGATTTTAATTTTTCGCGCAGTAATAATAAGGAAATGAATATTGAGCAGTGATTTCAGAATTTTATTAAATACAATTACGTATAGGTATAGCGGATCGGATTACCCATTTTATTTGACGGATCCGTCTGTGATTATTTTTTTCTGCACGTCTGGGTTTCTCGCTTTGGTTGATAAACGTCATGGCAAACGGTTCCGTACATAACCAAATGTAAGCATATATCTATCATCACAAAATTAGAATTGTACTCTTAGATTAAGGGAGATTGAGGTCAATTCGTCTTTTTTAATCTTTTTCATCAAGTTTGAATTGTTCCACTTTCTTTGATTCAATTTGAATTCGACTTCTGTTCTTACCAAAAATTCATTTTCATTTTTCCCACGAAAAAAGTCTAGGTTAATAATTAGTTACAACATGATTTGGTACTAAGGGGTCGTTTGGAAGTTGCGATAGTTTTGTTGAGATTGTCATTATGCATGTATTGTTTACAATGCATCGTTTTTTTTTAGCAGAAACAATACATGGATTGTTTCTGTGATGCGACAGAAACTATCACTTATTTTGAGTGATTGTTATATCTCAACTTTTAGTTGTGATTGTTGAGATAGTTGAGTTGAGATTGTTTTGTCTCAGCTTTTAGCTGATGCGACATACACAATCACACATACCAAACGTTGTATTCTAAAATGCATCAAATTCGACAATACATGTATAATATTATACATGCATTCTCAACAATACATATATTTAACAATCGCAACTTCCAAAAGACCCCTAAAAAATCAAGTATCATAGACTTTGTACGCAATATGTCGTTTGCTTGATGGATTTAGTAGGAATAAATCCGTGGGGTCCACAGACTTTGAGAGTCCAAATCCATGGACCCCACGGACTTGAAAATTCCATCCTTTTAGGTGGAATTTGTGTGAGGGTCTCAAGTCCATGATACCTATTTACTATTCTATCCTCACTTATTTTGTTATAGCCAACTCTGCCCTCTCTAATTTTCTTACTAGCCCGATTGACAGATAATGAAATACCAAAGAAAAAAGAAAGACCAGGCGATAGAAAACTTGTATGTTTCGTTATATATATTGTAGCATGCAGGCTCCAGATGAACAAAACTCTGCTGAATTATTATATAAATATGTTGCAGTAAAGTATGTTTCATTAACCTAAAGTAGCAAAATTCTTTTACAGCCTGCAGGTGAATAATCAGAATTTGATTTTATATATTGCTGGTTGTATATTTGGTTAATAAAACGAAAATTTGATTATGAGATAAGATTTGCTGGGGATTGCATATATATATATATATGGTGCCTTCTATGGTACCCCGGGTGAAATATGGGGTACCGCATATGTTGAGTATGAAAACGCTATTTAGACCTCGAATTAGCAGGATTTTTGGGATGATACTATACCCTAATCCTTAATGAGTGAACACTTGATCCTAATTATCTAAATCATAAACTATAAACCCTAAGATGATACATTGATTTTTTTGACTATATTTGGAAAAATCATAACCGTCGATTATTGTTTCTAATTAAATTGATCTTGGGGTATAAGATTTAGAGAATTAAGATCTAGATTTTGATCTTTAAGGGTTAGAGTATAGTATCATGTCCGAAAGATCAGTCAATTCAAGTCCTGAATAGCGTTTTCTTACTCAAGGTATGCGGTACCCCCTGGGTACCGTAGAACTCCCTCTATATATATATATATATATATATATATATATATATATATATATATATAAAACACTATAATATCAATTAAAATAATGATCAGTAAGGGTAATAGAGTAATCATAATATAACCACAACTAGAATTTAGCAAAATCCATTATGGAATCTATCAAACAAACAATGGATTTATCGAAAAACCAAATGAACCAATTTCATCATAAATTCATGATTTTGTAAAACGTTTGCTAAAGGTCATTATATGATGTACTTACTACAGTAGTACATAGGTTCCTACCCAGGGGTGGAGGCAGAGCTGGCTTAGGGAGGTCAGATGCACCACCTTGGTGTTAGAAATGAACATTAACATGTAGGTATATGTTATGTGCAAAGATGGAAGATCGAACTTGTTACCTCTCATCCAACAACAGGTGTCTTAGCAACTAAACCACTTGCCAACTTTTGATTTATATGAACATTTGTTTATTTATTTATATAATCATGTAAGATTGCATTAATTAAAACACGGCTTTGTCTATTCCCCAAGCCCAGACACAATCTCTAATTCATTCGACTTTCCTTCCAAAATAGAAGATACCCGCAGCTCGTCCCTGTACAGTTACAAGAGCTTAATAGCCGCTTTGATGAAGTGAACACTGAATTGTTATGCTGTGTTGCTTGCCTAAATTCAGATGATGCATTTGTTGACTTTGACAAAAAAAAATTGTTAAAACTTGCTACCTTTTATCTTAGTGAGATCTCTGATGATGATATCTTACATATTGATCTTCGGCTTGATACTTATATCTTTGACGTGAAGACGGATAACATGTTCACTAAGTTGAAGGGAATTCCTAATCTTTGTAGGGAAATGGTTGTGGCAAAGAAGTTTCGACCATTTCCCTTGGTGCATCGACTTGTGAAATTGGCATTGTTGTTACCAGTTGCCGCTGCAACTGTTGATAGGGTATTTTCCGCAATGAATTACGTGAAGAACACACTACGAAGTCGATTGAGCGATGAAGGGTTGAATGATTTTGTGGTAGGATATGTTGGATGATAAATGTATTTTACAGACTTTTCAAGATATGAAAACACGTCGTGGATCATTGTAAACATTAATAACTTTTATTATATATCTTTTTTATTTCGGACCTACCTTAAACTAAATCCTGGCTACGCCCCTGTTCCTACCTATACCGTAAGCAAGTTGATGTGGGATTGGTGTTGTCCCTTTGATGGTAAAAGTCACCGTAAAACTGTGCTTAATGGTCACTACAAATGAAATCATAATTCGAAATAACTTACAGTTAACTATTTTTTTTGGTCGACTTAGTCCGTGTAAAAGTGAGCAAATTTAATAAAATAATAAGATAATAATTTTTTAGAACCAACCTACATACTTATATGTATTATCAATTTATTCAATTATGTAAATTAATAATTATTATATATAATTCATAAAAAAATAACTAGGATAATCTAGAAAAATATGAATCCATAGCTGTTTGTTTCTTCTTGAAAGTCAAGTCTATTAGAAGTTCATTTTGAACTTTCCTCATTGCACTCAAAATTGACGGGTGTTATCTTCTCTAATTTCAATAAGTATTTTTGAAGAGTCGATGCGGCTTTAACTGTTTCTTTTCGCGTAGTCGGTTTCGAAGGTGTTGAATCATCATCTCTTTTATCCTCAATTGTACCCTGATGACATTAGCCACTATTTCTTTGAAACTTTTATCTTCCAACAACTAACTTACATCCATCTTGTTAAGATGAATATATATACTCAAAGTAATTGTGTATGAATATGGACGATTAATTGTAAAAAAAAAAGAAAGAATATGGACGATTAAGATAATATAATGAATGTTAAAAGTAAAGGCTACCAAATATGATAAATCATATTTGTACTAAAATAAAATTATTACACCACGTATGAATCTAATTTTAAGGTTATAAAGTCGTTTATGTTAACAATATACAACACATAAAAAATCTTTAAATTAATAAATTATTAATTTATTGATTAATTTAACAAATATAAATTAATTTTTACGTTCCCGACTATATTAATTTATAGAGGTTTTAATGTAGATTGAGTTTAGTGAATTTATGATTTGGGATATGGGTTGGCAACCCTATGGAACCTGTTGATGCCGGTATTTCACTGACCACCCTCCTGACATTGTCTATGTTTATGCCGACTTTTAGAAGTGTTTTTTTGTTTTAAAAGCTGAAGTAAGACCAAACACCTCTAAAAGCTCGACTTTTGAAATGCTAAAAAGTGTTTTGTATAACATAAAAGCAGAAGTTTAGATTTGAAGCTTCTACAAAAAATTGTTTGAAAAAAATAAGATTATCCTTATCATATTTTAATATTATTTATAGAAAATATAATCTTTTCATTTATACCATTTTAAAAATAAAACTAAAATTTAAAATAATATTATTTAATATAAATCTAACAATATTCATTTTGAATATTTTTTTATTTTTGTAGAATTTGTATTCATATGTTATATTAGAAATTCATTTTAGTCATTTTACATGATCTCTTATATCAAACCGCACTTCTAATAGTTTTCAGGCAAACACTCAACTGTTTTTTTTTAACACTTCTCTAAAAATTTCAGCCAGAAATTGCTTCTACAAAAAGTACAGCAGGGTCAAACTAAACCATTGTTAAAACGATTGAAAAAACTTATTATCAAACCACGAGAAACTGATAATAACCTGTCTGACTCCAATTAGACCAAACCAAGAATTGAACAGACTACACCTTTGGTTTGCCGAACCATTCCTCTTCTTTCTCTCACTTTGAATGCATGCATTCATGCCACAAAATGATTTCATGTTCTATATATGCACAATCAAAGTCATTTTCACCATTCGCCTCACTTTTTCATAAAAGAAGACGTGAATATTACTGGTCAGAAAACTCAATCCAATTTGACGATAGGTTAGTAAACAATTGGAAAGAGTTCTGTGCATGAAGGCCATTGAAGGGAATGAAGGCTGAACCACATAATTGGCCACAGAGGGACTTAAAATTGGCATGCTTGCTTAATAACTCAATTGAGCCTCATTGTTGCTTAATTAGTTTATGAGAATTGCTGACATCATGGGGGCACAGATTCTTTAATAATTAACCTATGAATTCTCTTTCAGGCTAGCTTAATTTTGTGCACTAAAAGAACCTAACAGTTATTTTATTGGTTGAATTATTTTCATATAAGAGAAATATATTTTTTGTTGGACATTTCCCATTGAAATATAGAATTTCAATGGGACAAAGGACAAAATGAAGGCCTGGGGATTTACTGGTTTAGATCTGTGTTGTCTTTGTAATCAGATGGCTGAAAGTAGAGAACACTTGTTTTCCCAGTGTGATTATTTCAGGCAACTGTTCCATGATCTGCTGGGGAGGTTTTCTTTTATGCCAAGAGATTGGGATGATGGATTGAAATGGGCCATAGACGTATTTGGCAAGAAAGGGACGAAAGCAGGGAATGGAAGAATTATCTGGCAGTCTCTGATAAGCTATGCCTGGCGAGAAAGATGTATTAGACTGTTTGAAGGGAAGTCTCGAAGTATCGAAGGTTTGAGGAAGGTAATTCGAAGTGAGGTATTGATGTTGTTGCAGGAGGAAGAAGCAGCTGAATTCTGGATCTAATCATCAAATATGGTTCTACTTGGCAGTCTTACTGATTAGCTAGCTTAACTCGAGGTGTATAGGTAATAGTTTTGTTTTCGTTGAGTCTGATGTATAACCAGTTTGCATGGTTTGAAACCTAGCTAGGAAGGTTTGTTCCCAGCACCCCTTTTCTTTTGATGGAAAGCAACTAATTCATAAAAAAATATAGAATTTCCAAGGTAGAAAGTGCTCATTAGATGTGTCTTCCTTCCGGTGCAAGAAAACATATGGTTGATTGGAGAGAAAGGCATGGGAAGCCACCCATTAGCCGTTGACTCCTATAGATCACAAGATCTGAATCTCCTCGATCGTGTTCCTTAGACAAGGAAAGCTCGAACAAAATAGAGACCATAACGAAGTTCTTTGGTACGAAAACATAATTCCGCACCTCCAACAGTTCACATAATAGGATCAATTCATTAATAAGGACTATTCCTTGTTCACCAACAAAATAAGGTTATACAATATCCATTATTCCCAGTGTAAACTAAACACATCATGATATCTCCTGAGATCTGGATATATAAATTTCCAATAAAGAGGTCAAACTTTGTGGGGATTAGAGGGCATAATTAATTAGGAAAAGCATGGTGCCATCATCTACATATAACTATTGAAATTCTTTCCACACAAAGAAAAGAAACTTGTCCGCCCAAACCATCCAAAAAACAGAAAGAAACAAATTCCGTCCGGCCTGGGGTTAGCTACAACCTCCCCCACCCTCTGTTTCCAACTCCCAATTCGAATATTAAATTATATGGATCAATCACAGGACCTACTAACTAACTATATGTTCTGTTTGAGAAGCAGTGTTATTGAGCATTCTCTCCTTCTCGCTAACAAATAGAGGAAGAAACAAAATTGCCCTGAGTGGGTTTTTGTCTGTCGCAATTATGCGGAGCATGTGGCTCAGATTGGAAAAATCAAAACATTTGATGAATGACATTTTAATTATATATAATCTATTTGAGGAGGTAGAAATTATCCCTAATTAGATAACCCAGTGGAGGTGATATTAGACCGATTATCCTAACTAGGAAGGGGATCAATTGCATGACCATTGAGTCGATTCCCACTTTCGTGACCTCTGTACTTCGAGATACCATTAGACTATCGCCTGTACCAACCTATAGCTAGAGGGAGTCAAGCCTAGACAACCATCTCATCTCTAGCGAGTTTGTTGTGTTTTTAGGTAGTTAGTTTAGATAAATTCTACCCCCAACCTTACGAGTTGATTAAATAGTAGTTCAGAGTGAAGTAATAGGAGCGGCGAATCCAACATAGGGTAGAGCACTAGGCCGTAACCCGACAAACATTGAAACAAATACCAAAAATCGAAAATTTACAAGGATATACTAGCTCTGGATCCAGGGGAGTGCTGGACCGTGGCCCGGGGCGGCCCCCTAGATCCGCCGCTGAGTATAGTAAGGGCTAAGGTTCCACTAGATATGACCGAGCCACTTTGCAACATCCCTAGCTTAGTTATACTTGACTTCGTTTGGAGTGACTAGAGTGCGCTACAACTTTAGAAATTTAAAGCTCAATCAAGACACGATCAAGTTTTTTGCGCCGTTGTCGGAGACATCTTATTGTTTTGCTGTGTTTGTGTGTAGCATAAAGTTTTTTGTGTCGTTATTTTGTTTTTTGTGTTTTTGTATATAGTTTTGTGAATATCGTGTTGAGTTTAGTGTGTTTGTTATGTCTTATATTCTTTCTCGTATTCTCCTTTCATTTGTCAAGTTTCCTTTAGTTATCGTGTATTAGGTTGTCGTTAGTAGTTAGATTGTTTTTGTTTTCATTTCACTTTTGCTTTTATAGGTGGTTGTTTTTTTTCCTGCATATAGATAGGTGTAGTTATGGATCCGAACGTTTGGCACAACCAATGGGGATACCTCGAACCGCCCAATTGGTGTTATCCCGAAACTTCAAGCGATGATGCAACCCCAAGGATTCGAGTACCAAGATCCCAACCCTCTCTATGGTCAAGAATTATACCCCCATGGGTACCTGTCTCATCCACCATGTCGAGAAGAACATCCTTCATACCAAGGATGGAACCCTACATCACTCCTGGAGCCTAGAGCAAGTTTGGAGTTCGAATTGGCGAGATTCATGATGAAGAGTGAAATGGCTCAATCCGCTTTGTAGACGTTGATCACTCCAACTCCCTCACCCAACCTTCTAATGGAGCCTGAAGAATTTCCTCGATGGAGGGAAGGCACAAGACACTCAAGTTCTTCTCTTCCTCAAGAGTGCCACCAAGAGGTTGGAGAACCATGTTATGTCCAACAAAGTGAATAGGGAGAAATTTCAAACTCCAAGAATGAAGAGATGCTTCATCCCACACTACCATCAAAGGTCAAACCCACGATATACTTAGCCATGGAGCGCTTCGGAATAGGGCCCGAGTGTGTTGATACTGGTGCACTAACATTCGTCCGGGTTGCTTAAAGCAAGAAAATCACAACTTTGTACCTATAGGAATTCTTGCTAGAGACCACACCATTGCACCGAGTTCACAAGACGAAGTTATAAAAGAAAGGAACAATAATGGAGTGAACGAGGATGGAGAAGTCTCTCCTTCATCACCACCTACACCCAAAGAGGTGGAGATCTTGATGAATCCCCTAGGTGCAATCTTGATGTTGGCCATCTTCGTGGATGAATGGGCCTTCCTCGTTGTCCTTGCATGTGCCAATAATAAGAAGAACAATGGCATTTTCACAACGATACTCGATGGTGAAGCGCTCGTCACAATGAAAGCATAATCCTTGTACTTTTCACCATGCGACTTCTTCCGGCGACATCTTTCTCGTGGTTGGGTTCCGAGGTGGTGCGGCTCGGGGTGGAGTAGGAGTAGGGTCGGTCCCCTCCTCAATGTAGCCTGAGGGTAGATTTCATGACCCTCCACGATGCTTAGCTAGCTCTTTTTTTTTTTGGTAGAAAGATTGGCGTATTATGGGATATACCCATTACATCGTAACGAATCCATTGACTAAGGCCAACGTCGCACACATCGAAGAGATGTGTGCCAAAATTACAGTAATGACCTTTAGTTGCAAGAAAGTCAGCTGCACAGTTTCCTTCTCTAAATACATGGGAAACAGTAACTTCCCATTCAAGGTTCAGCAGCCTTTTCAGTTGCTTTGCGATATTTCCATGACAGTGGTTATCATTAGAATCGCCTTTGATAATGCCTATTTCCGTAGTTGAGTCAAGCAGCAGATTCACTTTCCGGTAGCCATTACCCCAGGCAATCTTCAACCCTTCTGCAGCACCCTTAAGCTCAGCTGCCGTGATGGAGCAAAATCCCAGGTTGCAGGTGAAAGCTTTCCTGCAAATGCCAAGATGGTCTCAAATCAGTCCACCTGCAGCAGCATTTCCAGATGATGTTCTAACAGAACCATCCGTTTGAACTTGCACCCAGCTCTCTTCTGGTGGCTTCCACCCCACCTGCTCGTAGAACGTTCGACCTGGTTCTGGTTGGCAGTCATCTTGGAGTTGCAGTGCGCTTGCCAGATGATGCTGAACCAAGCATTAATTCTGGCAATCAGCCCATCCTTCAAGAAGGATCTCCCATCTAGAACCTCCTCATTTCTCTGTTTCCACAAGTGCCAACACACAATTCCAAACTCCACACCTGTTCCTTCATTCAAAAGATTAATCATCAACCGTTCATTAAAAGGCAGGGTGAAGTTCTTCTCGGCAAGTTTGCTTTTCATCAGATCCCAGATAGACCTCATTTTGTGACAGCTTCTCAGTATGTATTCAATGGACTCTTCTGCAGTTTTGCAGTGGTTGCATGCCTTGTCATTTGTCATTCCCCTTCTAGATCGTTCCTTGTTGGTGAGAAGACGATCATGAAGCACCAACCACAAGAAGTGTTTGATTCTGCTCGGGCCTTTCCACTTCCAAAGCTCTTTCCAGGGGTGGTTGTGTGAGGGCTCATCGTCCTCACTCACAAGTTTATAGACTGATTTTAGCCTAAACTTTCCGTCCCTTTCCAGGCCCCAGATGGTTATGTCTTCACCCAGTTCTGGTTTGGGTGCTTCCATCCCTGCAATCATAGCCAAAATATCAGTCGGGAGAACTTCTTCCAGCTTTTGCCAGTCCCATTCTCCATCTTCTGTGGTCCAGTCTGCCACCATCGAGTCCCTTCCATAATTGGCTATTTCAACAAGAGCATACTCCTCCAGCCTGAGGTCACAATCAAGCCAAGGTTGTGCCCATAAGTAGGTTGTTCTCCCATCTCTAACGCTCCAGCAAGTGGCCTCTTTCATTTTGTTCATCCCCTTTACAATGGCACGCCATACGTTAGAGTGGTTGCTCTTCTTCATGGTTGTAATTTCACCATCTTTGTGCTTGAAATACTTGTCTGGAGCACCTGAACCCACATATCAGATTCATTGTTAAGCATATTCCATCCTGCTTAATCATATAATCCATATTCATACAATGCGCAGATTTAAGCCCAAGTCCCCCTTGTTCTTTTGGTTTACAGATTTTCTCCCAGGAGACTAAATGGGGCTTCTGCTTCCCATCCCCAGCACCCCATACAAAACTCCTCACCTTCCTATCAATAGTATCACATATGGACATAGGCAAGAGGGTAGTTTGCATAACGTAATTGGGTAGGGCATTCAAAACCGAGAGGGCCAGGGTTACTCTCCCAGCCAGTGAAAGAGTTTTAGCTTTCCAACTAGATAGCTTCTGGTCCATTCTATCGATCACATACTTATAAGTAATCCTAGTCATTCTTCCATGAAAAACAGGGACTCCCAAGTATCTACCTAGGTCACTAGTAGCTTGGATGCCTAGCTTACTACACACATCAACTCTGGTTTGACTCTTAACGTTTTTGGAGAAGAAAACTCTTGATTTTTCTTTACTCACAGCTTCTCCAGATGCCAAACAGAAAAACTCAAGACAATTAAGCACAACGTCTGCCTGTCGCGGAGTGGCTTCCGCAAACAGGACAAGATCGTCTGCAAAGAAAAGATGGGAAAGGGCAGGCCCTCCTAGGGAGAGGGAAACAGGTTTCCAGTTCCTCAGGTTCACCTCACTCAAGATACAGTGACGAAGTCTCTCAACACATAATGTAAAAAGATAGGGAGAAAGGGGACATCCCTGTCTAAGTCCTCTTGTCGGCTTGAAGCTTTCAGTCTCCTCTCCGTTCCACAGGACTTGGAAGCTCGATGTCGTCACACACTCCAAGATTAGCTCAATGAATTTCCCTGGAAGTCTGGCTGCAGTCAACGTGTTCCTCAGGAAATCCCAGTCAAGTCTGTCGTAAGCCTTGGCTAGGTCCACTTTCAGCAACATGTAGCCTTTCTTCCCTGTTTTCTTTGCCATGGTATGAACGGTTTCCTGAAGAATGATGATATTATCAGTTATGTGACGGTTAGGAATAAAACTAGACTGATTATTCTTAACAAGAAATG